TGCCCTTCCTTGCCATTCTCCTGATTGTCCAAATTGGGTTCAGTTTGGTTTTCAAAATAAGGTTTGTGGTCACCCATTGTAATTTCTCTGGTGAAGCATTCCTCTGGATTCTCCAACATATCCCCCTTTTTCTAGTGGAATATAAGAGCACTTACCAGCTCCTAGCCACTGGGATGGTGGACCATGGAAGCTTCCTCCTGAGTGTGTTCAATTTCACTCAGTTCAGAGTAGTGTGGTGGTGTTCTGCCAGTGTAGGTGGCATGACCATCCTCCTACTGTAGACATGTGTAAGATTCCAGATGCCATATGGTATTGACTGGATTTGTCAATTACATTTCTACATGTAGTTCACCCATCTGACTGGGAACCTTCCTTCCTACCACTGCCTGGATGTCAGCTCCCAGGTGACTGGTATTGATTGGAGCCTAAGCAGTCAACATAAGTCAACATGTCAGTGGGCTGGGACCCACCTTCTACCACAGACTGGATGATACATTCCCAATGCCTCATGGCTTTGGCTGGGGTTGACCCTCCATGTTGCATTTCCACCTTCCTACCTATGTCTAAATGTTGGATCCTGGAGGTACTGGTGTTGGTTACGCACACATGATGGCTTGGGTTCTCAGAACGGAAATACTTTTTCCATTCTGGTTCCTTGGTCTGACGTCAGTAGTAGAGGACCCTCCTCCTCCTCTCAGCTGGAGTTGAGCACCTGCTTATGGTCTAATGCACCCTAGCCACACTACGCCAGTGGCATTTTTTGGATTTTACTTATTTGTATTTTATTTGGCATGTTAGTGATTCTTGTACAAGGAATTGCTTTTATACATTGAAGGGTATTTATTGCACGATGAATAAGCATTTTAATTACATTTTGTTCATTCTTATGTTTGGATCCCATGTACATATTATTTGTAAGGGTTGTTAACTTAGTTACTTCATTTTCTTCCATGTTAGTGTTGTTTTATATTGCTCTGTTTTATTATTGTTATTAATTTGTATGTTACATTTGAGAAGTATTTTGCTATGTATTAAGTGAAGCAATGATGATAAAGTATATGTTTTATGTTTATATTGTATTCATTGTTAAAGTGTTTTGCTTGTATTCTGCTAGAATATTCTGATGAGAAAATAATGTATTGTTAATCTGTGTTTTTCTGTAATCTATTACATTGATTTGACATTATTATGACATACTATCGACATACATATAAATGCTATGCAACTAAATTTTTTAGTTAAACAATAAAGTCCGTAATTTGTCTACTTATTTCAAAATGTTCATTGTACTATTAAATTCTCAGGTAATTAATAATGCATGATTTTATTACTATTTACATTTTTTCTTTCTTATTCAGTGAGCCAAGGACTATGTTCTGAGGTGTTATGTTGGTTGGTGTCTTTGTAGTTTAAATAAATTGGATTGTTACAATTTTTATTTATTTAATTTTTTTACTTGTTAAAACAAGTTCACTGTAAATATTATTCACTGCTACTTTGTGAAATACACATTACAGTTACTAAATTTTTATTATATTATTCAATTGACTCTTAGCTATCAAAATTTGGTAAGCAAACAGTCTTGAAAGTTATGATATGTTTAGAGTTTTAAATTTATTAAATTAAAGTTCGTATCAACTCAATATGCCGTATCATGTTACACTTAAATTCAATTTTTTTTTCCAATTTTATTTCACTGACATTGCTGGATTTGCAAGTTTATCAAACTAATAAAAGTGACATTTTATTTTGCAGTTGTTCTGGTGAATACACTGTTAATTGAAATATTACTTCTGTTAAGCAACAAATGTTAAAGATACATAGTTCTTTAGAAAATGACACATGAACTTAGACAATGTTTGGTAAAATACAATTCCCAACAAATTTTATTGCTTTCTTTTTTCATACAATTGTAACAAACTCAAAATACAGATCCTTCTATTACACAAAAACTAGCCCTGTATTGATAAGAAAATATTGTAATAAGTTTAAGTAGAGGTTGGTGATCTAAGAAAATTAAACACACCTTTTAAATTATTTTAAGGATATATTCTTAAAAACAAAATATGTTATACTGAAATTTATCTAAGTGATGCCAAAACAATCTTGTGTTCATTTCATTTCTGAGAACTGATTCATTATAAATTAGATATGCATTATGGCATAAATACTTTAATAACTCCCTGTCAAAAACACTGTTCAAAAATGGTTGGTCTAGCAATGAAATCAATTATATTTCACACAAATGTTAGTGAATATGTATTTATTATACCAGATAGATAACACTGTTGTAATGTTCCTGTTCCAAATGTTTATTTTGTAATATGATCATAATAAAATGAAAACATAACAAAGCTTGAGCCAAAATTCAGATGAGCATTGCTTACTTGCTACGTATGTATATTACCCTCATTATCATATTGTTGTAGCCTGTGGTTTTCAAATTCTAAAACACTGAATACAGTTAAAGTTCTCCAACTGTTTTCTTTTACTTTTTCCAACTTGTTTTTTAATTTCAAAGAAAAGATCAGAAGTATTTTTAGAAGCAGCTCAATATTATAAAAATAATCAACTTTTAGTTTTGCTCTCCAAACTTCCAAGAGACAAAAACTAGTTTTTTAATGTTTATTATTGTTTAGGACACCAAATTTATCACAAAATTAATAATTCTAAGTATTTGGTTGTGAAACTATTGATATACAACTGAATATTTTGTACCTCTAACTGACAAAAGTATAAAAGTGATCTAACACATACAAACTGCACTGGGAAAAAGAGCTAATACTCGACTAGATTATTACAGACTACCTTTCTATTGTAAGCCTCACCATTTAAATATCTATACAATAGTTTTACAAAGTAATCCACTTTCTACTTACTTACTTGTTTCAGTTTTCATCTTCTGCCAAAATTAAAGTTAAGTCTGTTTGAAAGAGTATTAAGCCACACATATACAAGAAAATGGAAGGGGAAAATCACATTCCAAATAGTGGAATAATAAGTACTAACCTTTGTATATGAAATAACAACACTAATCATTAAATTCCCAATAAAATATCCATCTATCATATTATAAATAATAAAACACTTAATAAACAATAAAATCGCTTCTCTTCACAATCTTTTAAGTATAAAAATACCACAGCCTTAAAAACAAACTGAATTACTTCATTATGATAAAATAACAGAAGCTCACTTAAAGTACTAAAAACTGATCAGTCTTTTCCTCAAAGCAGGGTTTACACATTTCAGATACATTGATCACCGCACAATTCTTCGTAATTTTAATGTCTTTTTAATTTTTTCTGTATATGGCTAAAAAGTACATGTCCATATTATAAGAACACCCTCAAAATTAGACCATTCTATTATTTTAGCATTGTAAACCCATAAATGTACCACTGACCCACCGGGAAACTAGACACAGACTACCTTTCTATTGTAAGCCTCACCATTTAAATATCTATACAATAGTTTTACAAAGTAATCCACTTTCTACTTAATTGTTGTTTCAGTTTTCATCTTCTGCCAAAATTAAAGTTAAGTCTGTTTGAAAGAGTATTAAGCCACACATATACGTTTAAGTTCTAGAAAAGTAAAACTGAAGTAATGTAAATCTAAATTGGAAGATTAGGAATAAACTAACCAATATATACCATGTTCCCCATAAAAATAACTACTTAATTTTGTAGCCATTACATTTATTAAAAATTATTAACCATTTAACCAATATATGTGACATATACCCAAAACATATCTGCTTGATTTTAAAAATATATATATGCCTCAAAATATAACAATCATATACCCCTAAAAATAACATTTGATTTGACAGTCTTTACATTATTCAAAAATTTGAAAATTTTTGTTACACTAAATGTGGTGGTGTAATAATTATGGTCTTGGTAAGTTCATTCTTCTTTAGAACCAACCATTTCTTTTATTCTTCAGTGCCCATGGTCCACAAGAGTTTCCTTTCTGTTTCCACAGTAACAACTTCTAAGCCACTAAAAGTATTTGAGGTACAGATAAGGCCACCAAAATTTAGCCTGTCATTTCCTTGGGGAGAAAAAGAGAGAACATATATATATACTTTTTAAACACGGTATTTATTTGAAATTTAACATCTAAAAAAAAGTTATTATAAGGTCACTTCAGTTCCTATTTTCACTCTAGTTTGTACCCTACTTTTATTTTTCTGTTGTACACATGTAACACTAACTGTTTGATTCACGCACATGAAGTCTAAAACTTAATATTATTTGCAAAGAACATCAGATATGTCAAAATATGGATGGAAATAGCAAACACATTTTTTTCTGTCTTTTTATTTACCTCAGTCTGATTGTGCCCTCAAGTCAAAAAAAAAAGTTCCCAAAGCTTACACTTTATAACTATGTAAAAATCATACTTTCAAGTGTAGTCAGACAGGCAAACAAATAACTAATATTTTTTCTTTCTTACGCAAAAACATTTATTTTTGAATGTAAGATAATGTAGTACAGTGCAACACCTATATAGTATCTTTGTTCTATGTTTCTACTATCCTGTTGCTTTTCCTCAATAAGAATCAAAGTAAAAAAAAAAAAATAAACAAACTTTTTTTTTCTGTAAAGTAGTACTGAGATGAAGAAGTGACATTGTTTACTAATATAATTTTTTTTAATTTCCAAAGCAAAACATCTTATTACAATAACAATAATTAGAAACTGCATGTTTAAATAAGAAAGGAGAAAGACAATATGAGAGATATTTTGCATTTAATATCATCATCCTCTGAGAATCCAATCAATACTAATCCAGGGATGAATTTGCATTAATAAAAATGCCAGATCCCTGCAGTTTTTCTGTCAGGTTTATTTTAATTACTTCTTACCTTTATATACTTCCAAGTAATGTGTTAGTTTAATTTGCCTACCTTTACTACATTTTTAATTTTTTTCAATCCCACCTTTTTTTAAAGCTGGTGAGTGAGCAAAACTAGCTATTACAACAAAAGATGAACGAAGTAGCCTAAGTGGTATCATTTCAGTGTCTGTGAACTACAGAAAAAATGGTCAAATCTGATTTTATTACTTGGTCAGAAAGTTACTCTAAACTTTTAACATTTTTATTCCACTAAGTAAAAGCTTTCACAGTGATCCTCATTTTTACATATATATTAATTTGAAGCAATTCTTTATTCTAAGTCTAGCATTATTAAGTAAATATTGTTTGGTCGGAAAGTTATAAGAATCATATATAATTCTGTAGTTTGAAAAAAGGTACTGTTCTGGTTTTGGGGTTTCAGAATTGGCATTTTTATTTATTTATATTTAGTATTACAGATCTTACCCTGAAAATGTTTTATTAAAACTGTGAGGTACAGTAGTAAATTCGGAGTTAAATATAAGAAGTTTGTTTAATATTTTCAGTCATTTAGATGTGAACTTCCATAAATTTCTGTTTTGGAAATTTATGCAAAACTCTTCTAATGGATTGTTTTCTTTTGTGTTTTTGTAGGGGAAAATTGTGGCTTTTTCTGAGTATCTTTCTTTATTTGTTTCATCTGTAGATAAGCATTTAGTGGTATAACTGATTTTCCTCCTAAAATTTATATTCATAAACTCAAGTGTGAAATCTTCACATCTTTTATCTTCATTTTTCACAGTGCTGTCAAATGTATTTTCTCAAGTGAAGGATTGAAACTTAATGATGAACAGTAGAATGACAGCAGCAACAATGAACAGTTGACATGTGTGTACAGTAACAAACATTTAATTCTTGAAGGTTTTGGAATAAAAAATAATTAAATGTTTGTTACCGTACATACACGTGTCAAAGGTTCGTTGTTACTGCCATCATTAAACTTCGATTCCCGTCGAATGAATCTGTTGCAAGGATTGAAACTGTGTTGTTTTAATGGTCTTACATTAATTTAAAATATATATATATCTTGTTTCCAAGACAAGATCCTGTATATATATATTAATAATTTTAAGATACACTTTAGCCTAGCATTGGATTTCAAATATATTTTTGAAAACTTTAATTAAGGTAATTAAGATTTTATTTAACTTATTTTGAATTCCTAATCATTTTCAACAGCATGAGTAACAGAACTGGACTAAGGAAAAGCATTAAGTAAAAGTTTCACCAACTTGTTGGCTATTTTTCACTTTATATGCCATTGTTTCTAGCTAATGTTTCTTTCCTAATAAAGTCTAATTATGGCTCTACTTATAAAGTTATGCAAACAAAAAAACCTATATGACTAACTAACCCGATCAACCTCCTGTGTTCACCTAAACCAAAGCTGTTAGTAACAAAAGTACTACTTTTTGTTTTATTTTTAAGTTTGGTGAGAAAATCAGTCATAACTTATAATTCTATTTTTTTATTAGAATTGTCTTTCTTTTTTAAATGTTCCATGTTTTCTTTCACATTTTAAGAGCCATTTCTGTTCTGCGTTTCAGCCAACTAGATTAACTATTGTCTCACTTGTGGCTATGCAGAAATAGTCTATTCCCCAATGCACAGTGTTAAGACTCATTTTTGTAACAGAAACCTTATACTGACACATTTATCATTATTAAATTTCATTCCTGCCTACATAGAATATACCAAATACTTACGCAAGTTCCACTTAAGGCCTGTAGTGGTGACATGATGACATGGTTCCCCTAATGGTATTAGACCACAATGAAGATGGTGAACAGATGGAGGTACATGAATTTTATGTTGACCCTTGTAAATAAAACTATTATAAGTACAGAAAATTACATAAAGAAATATCATTATATGAAATTAAATAATACTAAACATGAAAATAACTCAATCCACTTGGTCCTCATTGAACTCTGCAAAAAGAATATCTCAAACTGAGTTTCAGTAAATAAAGAATAACACACAAGTCTTTAAAACAGAAAATTTATGGGAGCAGACTATGAGGGGTTTAATTAATTTTATCTCAGAATCCCCTCATAATAAAATGGATATTATTTTATATATATTGACCAAACTTTTGCCTAAAGATAGAACCTCATTCATTACACTAAAAATTGAATTATTTTAGTATTTCATAATCTTTGTTAATGAAGGGAATATACATGTTAACACCAGCCTCATTATATATACCTTTTTTAACTCAAAATTAGACATGTTTTAATTTAACCCTTTTACAAGTTTACTTAATCTAATTACAATAAACAAAAACATCTTCAAGTTCTAATCAAACTCTGTTTTCTAGAGGTATCAGATCTGAAACTTATCAGTCCTTTCTGCCTTAAATCTATCTTAAAATAACAGTTTACCTCATCAAGCAACCAGATTATTGAATCACCAGAAAATAAAAATACTGGAAGACAAGTGATATTTTTAGCTAAGTACAGAGTATTCAAGTTGGACAGAATGTGGTCCATACGTCCACCATTACGGCAAACAATAAGGAATGAGTCGGCCTAAAACAAAAAATTAACATGCGCTATAAACAATGAAAAAAATACTAAGAATTTTTCAAATAGTTTCATGTTTATATAAAAACCAAATCCTTGAACATGTTAATCACTGGCAAAAACACATTGTATACTGCTGTTTACAAACATTTTACATATTTTGTGCACACAATTACAAGAGTAGATCATCATATAAATAAGGTGATGATGAATAATTTTCTGGAGAATAATTGTACCCTACCTGAAAATGTATGTCAGATAGATATTCACCCCTCCACAAAACAATCAGCTAGCACCTCAGCTTTAAACTACTGGAAGATTTTTACATATGAGCCAAACTGATAAAAGAGCTCTCACTCCTGAACGTAATAACGTCTTGTGCTAAATCTATGTTGCTGAGGAACATCAGACCACACCAATAAGAGGATGAAACAATTTCCTTGCATATTACTTCTCTTGGGAATTTTGTGTAAACCAAAAGTTCATTCTTGATGAGGCAAATAGACAAACTGGAAGTGTGGAGGTAGGGTAAGTAATTCTGTGGACGGGTGAGTATCTATCTGAAGTAAGTTTTCAGGTAAGAAAGATGTTAACTTCAGACTACAATATTCATCTTTTCCACAGAACAATGAGCTAGAATTCCACATAGTAAAAATGGTTGATAAGTTTGGAAGGCAGTAAATGTTCACATTTTATCCAATTATCTGACATTTATTGTTCCTTTTTTCTCAACACATTACACTTATCTGTTGCTTCCATTTTTCTTAATTTACCTATTCTTATTAATTCTCAATTACATTGCAACACAAATAACAACTTATAATACTCGAATCAAACACAAAAAAAAAAAACGTTACACAGAGATGACCAAAAATACTGGTTGGGAATGAAGCATGTTGCTACAAATAGTTATGTTGCATGAGGTTTCACAACATCATTTGATATCTGTAGCCAGAAACATACACACATATTGTGCAAACTGAAAATTACTTTTACAAACAATTATAAAACTCACTTGTACACTGGTAACTAGTTAGTTTTTTTTTGCCTTTGGACATTTCACACATGTTTATCTAAAGCATAAATTAAATATCATAACAAATAATCATAAATATAATAATAAAAAAGAAATGTTAAATCTAATAATAAATGTTTACAAGTAGGAAAACATTCTACACTAGGCAACTATTTTTCCAATATACTTCAGAACAAGTCTAGAGAAAAAGCTTCTACACATGTCACAACTTTTTTGGCTACAGACCTCCAGAGTTTCAACTCATAAAGCTATATGTTTCTCCTTCTCCCATACATGATGTATGTAATTTACTGTTATGGATCCTGTGATCATGATATGATTTTATAATGCTTTATTTTTAATTCTTATATGTGCACTCTCTCTTGTGCTAAATTGTCTTTAAAGAATGTTTATTGCCAAAGGCAAAGGAGGTTTTAATATTCTTCTCTATTTGTTACATTTAAAATAGGTTTTGGTTGAAATGTTTCATTTTAGATTATTTTCATAATCAATTAGTTTTATGTCATTTTATATATTAAACACATTTAATACTTCACACAAATCTGGATAGATGTGCATGATTTTTTCTGGCTTTAAAAGCTATATAAGAGGTTTTTAAATTATAAAAATTTATTTGCAGTTACATATTTCACAAAAAATATATTTCTACAAAATAAGTATCTTATAAATCAATCAACCAATTTATAATGAGACAATTAAAATTTCATATCATAATTAAATTTATTTAGGAATATATAATGATAATGCTATAAAAACAAACAAAAAATTGTTAATGTTATTGTTAAATGTTTGATAACAATAAATACTTCTTAGCCAAATGAAAAGCATACTGAGCATAAAACCTTAAAGGAGTGGTATGATGCATATCTGAATGTGCATAGGGTTCGTCCAATGGACCCTGTATTGGTGAAGTAATGTCAGCAATAATGTTGAATTTTCAAAAGGTATCTTCACAAGATGTAGCAAACTTTCAGTTAACAATACAAGTCTGTTGTACAGAAAACATCAGATGCATTAATAAAGTTTCTGTACTAAAGATATGTCTGTGAAATGCTGACATCAGCCCGATTCAGACTCTGACAAGTCAGAGTGTAAGGTAATGTTCATGTGAAGAATAAAAAATATTTTTGTCTATCATAAAGTTTGCAAGTTGCATTTGCATAACCCCTACAATATCCTAAATATACATCTAAAGTTTTTTCAGTGTTCCTGTATATTTTATCTAGTACTTTCTCTACTCTAAGAGGAATTGTTACAAAATCAGCAGTGTAGGGTAACATGAAATGTTGATAACTCTGACATCAAATACATACTACCATGTTCATTTGTCTCGGACTTATACATTTAATTAATCTACTTAATAGTTGAGTTTTTAGTATTCAGTGTATAAGCACCTGAGAGTTGATAAAAGAATAAAAATATCACTTTCACATTGTACATTTCATTGAATACCATGGCTACTTCTACAAAGCCAAAGGTTAATAAAACAAACTCCTAAGCATTACATCTACTATATTCTTTGAGTATCTAAACCTTACATGTTTATTTTCATTTTTTAGTTATAGAAATAAATAAATAATTTGTTTTTACTGTGTCTTTAATATTCTAACAGTTCTTGAAATTAATAATTTTTCTGACATTCTGCTGTGTAAAAACTAATTCTGAGTTAAGTTTGTTAAGAAAAAAGTATATGGTGTAGGTAGTTTCTTTTGTTGGACAAGTTGGTTAATTTGCAAACTAGTTAAGAAGTTGTCTGTATTGAGAATTCATTTCATGTATATCTCTTTTTTCTTTTACTTCTTCTCAAGATTTTAGTGTATTTACTTTAAACTATTTCTATTAAAACATTTAAGACATTTTCGATCTTGCATCTTACCCATGTTTAACCCTATGAGCACAGGTAGGGTCAAAGTGCATATGCCATGACCTTTTCTTCAGAGTGCCATTCAACTTGGAATTACTTGTATGATATCAGAGTTACCAACTATACATGTTACCTTACATTGCTGATTTAGCAATAGTTTATGACAGTGGAAAGTACATACCAGATACAGTATACATGCAGGGATACTGAAAAAATTGTAGATATGCATTTCAGAGGTTCTAAAGGTTATGCATATGCAATATTCAAATTGTACAATGAACAAAAATAAGTTTACTTTTCACAAGAATATCACCTTGCACTCCTGTTTGTCACAGTCTGAGTCAGACTCACATCATCAATTCACAGACACATCTTGAGTACAAATATTTTTTGTAACACATCTGATTTTTGGTGTGCAATTTACTTGTACATTAAACTAAAAGTTTACCACATTTATGATGTCAGAAAAACATGTAGGTTCAAGAAGTCTTGATACAAAAATTATAAAAACCATATAACCCGAGCACTTTTGAAAGGTGGACCTTTCTTCTTCATAGAGATAAATTTAGAATTATAATCACCGTTCTTTCTCCAATGCAGGGTCAGTCAGATGGACTGACACATTCACTTAATGAAACAGTGTGAGCTTTAAAACAAATTTTACACAGACTATTAAACACAATCTTTTTTATTTATAGGTTTATTTATTTTCTCTTTTTTTTGCAATAAGCCATGAGCAACCAACAAGGGTTACTTTATTTTCAAATCTTTTTGGACAAAGAAGTAATATTCAATAAGCTTAGAAGACTTGTTATATATTTCTCTATTCTTTGTTTTATGGTTTGGGGGAGAGAAATAAGAGAAATTAAGAAACATACAGATATATTCTTCTCTCTTAAGAAATTTGTGGACTCTCGGAGAGATTTAGTGAAGTCTGTCTCATTCTGGTCAGGTGTATGGATGATCTGGCTACCCTAAAGTTGACAAATGAAACATAAATAATTCTCAGTCTGCAAAGAGGGTATTCACATGTGTATATTACTCTAAAAAATTCAAATAAAAACACCATAATACAATACAAGCTTAAATATGCTTTAACAATTTGGTAATGTTACATTATAGCCTATCAAACTAACATGTATGTAGGCTGGGGAATTTTTCTCAACACTGCAAAATATAAAAAAAAAAGCTTAAATTTATATATTAAACTACAAACCTAGAAATAGTATAAAATATAAAAATTTACATTTTCATTATGCTACATAATAATGCATTTTGATCAAAATCATGTTAGTCACAGAAACAATCATCATAAAAAATACATCTTATCAAAATTTTCCATAGACAGAAAGTTAAAATTTCTAGTAAAAAAAATAATATTTAATCTTTATAATAAAATTTTAGAAATTAAATTATAAAAACAACTTTATGAGAAAATCTTGAAAACAAATATATAAAGTATGTTTTTAGAATGATGAAAGAATGAATAATTAATAATTTGCCTTTTGGCAAGATCATGTCAAATGAACATGTAGTACTTGTCCTTTCATACAGTTGAAACTTGTAGAATTGCAGAAAGTTATTTTATACAGACTAGCAATTTTCAAACTAATAGTCTATGGAGTGCAAGTGAGCCAAATGAGGCATCAGCAATATGTCAGTTTTTTTACGAAGAAAGGTTTGGTATTTGAAAAAAATAGTTTAAGAAATTATCCAAAAGAAAAAATAAAAAGATAGAAAAATATTGTAAGTAACTTTTGTTTATCTTGCCAAGTAGCATTCTTTAGCAGCCCTGACATGTTTTTAGCCATGGAAAACGGCTCCTAGAATGGCTCTGAGTTTTTTTTTTGTTTTTTTTTCAAGTACAAACTTTTAGTTCATAGTCCATCATCTCTTGACTGATTTGAGATCTAATTAAAGTTTTGGACTCGGGCGGTCAAACACTTTCAATTGATGTATTTGACCATGCCAAAGTCTCACAGATTAATTTACTTTAATCCTGCCTAAAAGAATTTCAATTTAAGGGTACGGTAGTAGAGATCCTGATGATTAATAATATTGAATTGGGTATTCACATGCCAAATGCTTGGTATTGCTGGCACACAAAAATACAGCTAATAAAAAGGAAAAAAAGGTCTCGTATATTAATATACTCTAATCCTGTTTAAAAGAATTTCAAGTGCCATGGCTATTGAAGATTCCCTCTTGTTTTTTAGTACATCAATTGTTATTTTTCTTAGCTAAGGACAATATTTGAAAACCATTGCTCTAGATCAAACAGATGAATCATATATAATGCTTTCCATTGCAAAAGGATCCATCACAAAGTTGTCAAATGCAAAGCACATCATTCCTCCTTGCAGGTTTTGCATACTCATCTCATTTATTGTATGAGAACAATGTTTCTCCAGCAACCGATTTAACAGTCTGATCACATAGAGGCTTTTATGACTGACGTTTATGTTCATGAATTCTCACCTGTTACAAGACACCACATTTTGCTTATCATGGTTCAGGTACAACTTATTGCAGGTCTCTTTCTTAATGGTCCTCATGTCTGAAGTTGATCAATATTCCTTTGTTTCCCAATGTTAAGTACAAGGGATATCCCCATCTTGGAAATTCTAAATACCAATTTGAACACATTTTCATGATCTAAATATATGAATACTTTGCATAGCCTTCCCAAAAGTGATAAATTTTTGGTGGCACCACACTAACTACAAAACACTAAACAATGTCAAAGTGTAGTTTTTGATACATGTTGTTTCACAGAGATATAAAATTGACCATGGTTGTCAATGACTTGCATATTCAAAATTATTTTAATATAATGCACTCAAATCTATGTAATAAAATTTATTGCAGTGAGAGTACAATTAGTTATGCTTCTTACCTTATGAAAAACAGCATAAAAAAAGCAAATCTAAATAAACAACAAAAAAGAATAAATGTATTTCTCAATTCATTTATAAGATTAATAATCAAAAGAAAAGAAAAGCATGCTACATGTTAACTTTGTCACTTGTTGTATTAAACAAATCCAGTGAAATTTCTACTGAGTGAATTGTTATATATATATACACACACACACACACACACACAAGAAAAAAAAAAGGTCAGATAAAATCAATTTGCCTTTTTCCTGTAGAACTCTTGCAGTGAAAAGTCAAGAGAATCAAAGTCTCCTGTTATAAGATGAGGTATACAATTTGCCATGTGATCCTCAGTCAAGTCATAAAGGTGTTTAGTTCCTCCATCTACAGCCACTCTTAAAACAGCTGGCAATATAGAATACAATATATTTTCATTGGCTTATTACTTTTACTTCCGATTTTTTTTTTAACTGGCATGTACATGATACTTACATATAAATGTATTTCTTTTATTAGTTATTCAGATATTGAAATTAATTATATTTGAACAAGTCTAATGTATATGCAAGCCATAATTATACAAAACTGTCCATGTTACACAAAACATTTTAATATGATAAAAAAAGTGCTCTGTACCAACACTTCTGATACTCATGAATTGACGCAATACAAGAAATGACTAAGATAAGCTTTAAGACAAATGTAATGGCACAAAGAAATAATACACTGGTGGACAAACAGGTATAGTTTGATTATAAGTACCAAAAGCCTCCATTTTCAAAATTAGTTCCAAAATGTCTGAATATGTTTTCTTCAAATAATTACATGTTAAAATGTAATTAGCTCAATTTTAAATGTTTATAAAACTCAGGCAGGTATAGTTTAAATTTTCTTATTAGCCAATATCTTTTGAAAAATATTTTTTATATTTCAAAAATTTTAATAATTTAAAACACTTTAATCTGACTATAGAATGTAAGAATGTACTAAATACAATAACTTCAAAGTAACAACTTATTTATCCTCTATTTCTTTAATTGTAGTATTGTGTGAGTAGACATACCAAACATTTTCTACTTACTTATATTAACATAGAATTAAAAAATAATTCAGCTGTAGAGGTGTATGTGCAGTTCTTCATGACACATGATCAAGGTGCTTTTGTTAAAGTTACCTTTATTTTCAGTCATTCCTTTAAGATAACACCTGATCTGCTCATGAGGGATATTGGTGTAAAGATGCACCTTAAGTATAAAAGTAGACAGCAATTTCCTTGAATGGTATGTCATTTGATATTCTAAGGTTAAAAACCTTCCTTATTTACAAAAATGAATGACCAGTCATGTGATTAACACTAGTTGCTCTGGATAAGACTGACATTACCATTTTAATTAAGTAACATTAGTTTTAGTCAGTCTGGAATAGAACCTCAAGTAAGCAAGTTAGCCTGACATATATCTAGCAGTAAGAATACCAGTCTGATCAATAATCCTCTTCAGTGAAGATGATGTTAGCCTGACCTGAAGAGGATTATTGATCAGACTGGTATTCTTACCTCTAGATATTGAAGATGATTTTTATTATCCAAAGGCGATTCACGCACAATGTTGATTTTTGTTCTTTAAATAAAGATTGTTTCGTTGTGTCTTGTACACTTGTGTCCAGTCCATTTTTTTTTCTTAGCATAGACTCAATTAGTGAAACTGGGAATTACTTCATAATATATATATATATTTGTGAACCTCCTGATATATAATAGACCTATTTTATTTATTCTTAGAGAAATCAGTTTTTCTTGAACATATCACATTACAGTAAGTTGATTTTTCCTGCATACCCAGTCCTTACACAGATTATTGTTTTAAAAAATTGACTGTTAATTAATAAAATTCCATATAAAGTCAGAAACCAAGTATTCTATCACTTCAAAGTAGAATAGACTGTTTCCCTCATATACCTTCATATATAAATAAAACAACGTAAACAAAACAATATATTACATTATTACCCAAGAACTGCATTTGCAATTAAGTCTTTCAGTAGATTAACACTGTTAGGAATTAGTATTATTACACTCAAGTCAGCTAAATCTATAACAATCATAAAATAGGGAATATCTCAGTCCCACCATTTTGAAACAGGAATGGTTTTGATTGCCATAAGCTTGGTGCATGAGATAGTCATTTAATAAGCTCATATGAAAGTATACTATAAGCATATTGTGTTTCATGAAATCAAAGGCTTCCATAACAACAGTAAATATCATTTGTTTTCCTGTCCTTAATTTATATACATGATATAATGTGAGACAGCAGGCAGCAACTGGTGAATACTATGAAAGGAAAGTCAAAACCTTTCTGAGATGGGAGGTATCCTGCACAGACAGCCATGGACCCCAAACAAAAATCTGTTGTTGTCAAAAGCTGATGAACAAGCTACCATGAGTAACTCACTGCTCTGCAGCCCTGAACAAGAGACTGACTATTCATTTGGGGATTGGGATCCCTTAATATTCATATTGCACAGTACATGTGACATTGGTGGCATCTCAGCCAGGTGTTGGGTAAGAACCCACAAGAGAGAAGCTTCGGCCACAACAACTCTCTGCGAGTGAAATAGAGATTTCACCGCCAAAGTTCAAAGGTGTGGTGAAAGAAGTTCTGAACTGTTTCATGAAGCATTTTAGGGAGATAACATTTGACCTTGAGGTTGGACAGTCTAGCCTTGGACTCATTTAAGCACTTGAATGAGACTGGAAGACTGGGATACAGGTATGGCTGAGTTGTACTGATAGTTCGACTGGGTGGAAAATTAAGCAATCCATTAGGCTGAGTTCAAGGCTCAGATGAGGGTGTCATGAAGAGTTTACTGGCTTGCATGGACAATATGTATTATTTCCAAAGTAAGGAATATCCTAGGACGATTTTTGCACATTGTGAAGACATCTTCATGGACAAGTTTGTTGAAGGACTTCCAGGAAAAATGATGAGGCATATCTAAGTTTGAGAGATATTCTTACCCTTACAAAAGCTATTTCTGATTCAACAAGGTACAAAGTAGTAACTTCAAACCAGTTAAAAGAGAAGAAGCTTGCAGTTGCAACTAATATGATTAATCTCAAGCAAACCATCCTACCCAGGTATCTCCATTATGTCAAGCTCAAGCCATGCACAAGGTTAACAAACCACCCACACATCCTAACTCTATGATGCAACAACACTGGTTTCCAGTAAACAAACAAAGCTATTCTTGTCTTTCCATGGTCTTCATGCCATAAACTATACTGATAATGCCTCCATGTGGATGAGGGGAACAAAGCATATGCTTTGAATGCAGTATATTAAATCTCTTGCTGGTGTATTTCCATGTACTTTACCAAGTAGCAAGGTAGGCACGGCCAGTTTTGACCGGCAACCCAGCAGGTATAGTAGAATCAACAATTTCCATACTTTGCCAAGCAGTAAGGTGGGCAAGGTTCTTGGTTTCATCTGATGGATTAGCAGGTCCTGAAAAACAAAGAGTAAGTAGTAAACACTTCTGTTATGGAAAACTAATGGAGCCCTAGCTTAGCTGGCCACCTACTTGTGAAGTATAGCTGACAACTTGCATCACAAAGTTTGGTGGTTAGCCAAGCTCTCTCTGGACTAGGTTGAGTTTAATACATACCTATAAAGGTAAGAGGGTGAGAGACTGAGTTTTTGATTCATATAAAAATGGTCAAAACATTGGTAGATCTCCTGATATATTAGGCCCTCCAAGTGAGACCACCACTCTGGCCAATGGATACTGACTTTGGCAAATGGTGAAAGACATGAGTAGAAAGGTAAATATCCAGCTGTGTCTAAATGTCACTCCCAGAACAAGAAAAGTCATCTTCAATCTCTGTTCAAGATTTGGCATCCTTAGGATTGACTTACTATGGAAATTATTGGCCTGTTTTGCAAGTAAAACCAGTGAACAGATGTTAAAAAGAAGTGTCCTCCAACATCCACCACACCAAGCTCAGGAAGAGTGGACTACACAAGTATATAAAACATAGGAAATTACAGTATCCCTGTATATGCAAGTGGCATTCTTTGGTTTACTATATATTAGGTCAAGTGTAATGGTGCAGTGTAAGGTGGTTATAGAGCCCATGCATGAAATAAACTTTCCTGTCCAGAAAGCAAGCAGAGTTAGGGATGAAGTTCCTGGGGTTACATCTGTTTCCCAATATCCAAAAGTGTATACACATCTGCCAACACATTCAAGATTGTTGGTTAAGAATTATGCAAATGATTTAAACTCAAAGCAGTGGCAGTAACTCAGCAACTTACTGGCAGAATATGCTGATGTATTTATGGAACCAGATGGCCAATTAGGTCAAACAATAGAAACGCAACAAACAGATACAGGTGATGAAAGTTTGATTAAACACTAAAGGTGCAGGCTTCCCTAAAGCACTAGGAATTTATCAGGCAATAAAAAACAGTGGATATTAAAAGACAGAATCATACAACATTCAGAGAATGTTTGGTCTTCTCTAGCAGCAATTGTCAGGAAAAAAAGAAGGTACACCCAGATTCTGCATTTAGTTTAGTTCTGCTGATGTCTCCATTACTGTGAACAGATGAACATCTGGACATCCAACCACCATTTGCAATCTCCTGAATAATGAGACAGTATGATCCAAAGGATCGAAATGCATGATCTATTAATCATGCAGTGACCACTGAAGGGACCTCACATGTGCTCATCCCAAAGGAATGAGAGGCTTGAGGGATGTCCACATCCCCAAATGAGAACCATCTGTGCAGTAGGAGAAGGAGACATAAATAAAAGCCTGACAGGTCTTTCTATGGCTTGAAGCCTGATAGGGGTTGGTTGAGCAAGGCTTAAGTGAGTATTGAAAAACACACCCAGATGGATGAGATATAGCATAAGTGTTTTGGAATTACACGTTTATTCCTGGGCTCACAGCACAGAAGGGCAGATAAATTTTCTAGCTGAATAGTGAGGCCCTGCCCATCTAGGACACCACATAGGAATTGAAAACATTTTTGCTCTAACAATGACAAACCATATAGTAAGACATTCCATTAGTAGATGTATGCCATGATTAACACTTTGGGAGCTCCAGGAAGAACAACTTAAGAATACAGCTCAAATTGTGGAATGTAGTATGGAAGCATGTAACCCCTGGCATTTGTGAGCAGTTATGAGTTCAAGAATTTGTGCAATATCATTGTTATCAACCAATGAGCAGTGGTTCTCAGCTTACGTTACAGCTACTGATCCCCAGAGTTATGAGGCACAAGATTCACTAAACTATGCATAACATGAAGATTGTAGGACACCAAGATGTTACAGATACTAGTGTGAACACTGAATGGTGTGTGCCACCCAGAGAACAAGCTGGCCTATAAAATGTCAACTACAGCAAATAATTGTTGTTTCTCCTTTGCAGAGAATAGCCGTTGATAGCAATGGTCCATTTCCAGAGATGAAAAGAGGTAAATTTTATATACTTGTAGTCATTGACTATTTCACAAAGTGGGTCAAGGCTGTGGCTGGATAAGATTTCATCCTGTGCTCTGATAACTCAATCCATTAATTTACTAGTTAAAAGGTGTACAAAAGCTCGTAGTACACACTTACCAGTTGTATCCATATGTGACCATTGAACCTCTGATACAATGACTTTATCAAAAGTCAAAATAGCAATAATTAAGTTAAGTGAGAATAAAACCACTGTTTTATTGCACTACAACCCTGAAGATAAGGAGGAAAGATCATATACAGTGAGAGAGTTGTGTTTTTTTCAGAGTGTATATTCATATATAATATAGTAACAGTAAGACCTACAGGAATTTTATCTGAATTCTGTCAATTATTTATTTCATGACGCTTGTGAAGAAAAACATTCAACTTTAATAGTTTGCAGGTGACAGCATTTTACTAGACTACAACTACTATGCAATATTTTCAGAAAGTAATCCAAGATGGATACAAAATAATTTGAGTGGAAGCCAGAGGTAGTCTTTGTAAGCTACCAGTGTAAGCAATGACAAGTAATGGAGATATACGCATATGTTGATATAAGTGTGTCCAATTAAATACATGTGTGTGTGTTCCCACATGCATGTAAGAACATTTCAAGAAGTCATTCATGAGTGTTTTATAGTGTGAATGGATAAACTACATAATAAAATCAACTATTAAGTTAAATATGGATGGAAATACAGGATTTGATCTGGATATTAATACCTTGTGATATGAGGTTAGCTGATTACTGATCTTGTCAGGTATTATTTGAAGATACTGTGCACATGTTATTTTCAATAATTCTTGTAAGAGCATTTTTCAGTTTCAACAATGAAATATTTAGCTGGAAGTAATTTTTTTATGGAAGGATAAAACTAACAGAAATATGTCTGAAAAAGACAAAACAATTCTGTCTGTTGTTTTTGGTAGGAGTAGTGCAAGATATTTTGATTGGATTGAATCAAAATGTTCGAGTGGTTGAAAATATCAGTAGTATATGAAATTCACAAACAGTATCTTAAATATCATAACAAGTATAAATGTGGTGTACCCAGAGTTTTAAAAGTACATATTCTAATAAATAAATATTTTTCTTACCATTTTCCCAAAGTTTCTTGATTTTTTCTTGCTTATCAAATGGCTGATTCAGTAAAATAACTACATATTTGTTCCCTAGAATGAAACAAAAAATTACAGAATAATATGGCACATTATACTGTGAATAAATCATTAAAAACAACTGGAAATCTGGATTTTTACTTACACTTCCTCGTAAAATGTGAGGATTATGGAAATTTTGACTGCTTGCAAAAGTCATAATATATCATAAACAACTTTACATTTGATAAGAATAATTCAGCAACTATTTGATAGTTATTACAAAATATTTAAAATACCTTATATAAACAGAAAAGCTCAAAAAATAATAAATGATTTTGATCAAAGAAATTTTTTTTTAAATTTTGTTGGCTCATTTATAAATTTTTTCTTAAAGCATTTTGATTTATAGATGTCAAGCTTGAAACTGGCACACAAGAACAGATGGTAACATCAAGATTGTAAATGTACATCTTGAATTAGTCTTATAGGTGAAACAGTGAGAGTAAAAACATTAATTTTCTTGGAGCCAAATCGTATGCTGTTCTTCATTTTTGAGGATACTTTACCTTTTCAAATATACATTACACTCTTTCAACCATATCAAAGATAAACTATTTTATTTGAACTCTGACTTACTAGTGTGCAAACATAAAACACTTCATATATATAATACACATATGGTGTTATGAACAGTCTTTTACTCACCACAATGAACCTATGTTTTAACAGTATTACAAGAATATGTAGCATTGATGTTACTAACTTATTCTTGTAAATTATTTACCAGACAAGCTGTTTAAAGCAATAAAATAAACATGAAACCCAATCTATCATTTGCTTCACTACATGTCACCGATTTACTCTTGTCACGGTTACTTATGATGGCTGTAATTCCCCAAAAAAATATATAATTCAGTGATAAATGATGAATTAAATGATAGATTTGACTTCATATTTATCTTCAATACTTCATATATAAGTTATCTTAGTGTTGCGTCAGCAGAGGTCACGTGACTAGTATTACTCCACGTTGTTCTCAAACATTCACGTCCTTTCCTTAAATCTCGGGATCCTTCTAGATATAGTGTAGTCTTGTATGTATAAGACGGTCACAAATTGATGGCAACAATGTGTGTAATTGAACGGAGTATTGTTGAGTCGAGCACGTGAAACGTTCGTTGAGAATTTTAGCGTTTGTTATAGCGCGACTATTGAAATTAAGTGTATTGCAAAGTTATATTCAGAAAGAATAAACCAGTTTTATTTAAGAAAGGACTTCTATCAGTAAAGTTTCTTCGGAAAGAATTATTACGGAAAATTAACAAACGACCAGAGACGTAACAAATTGGTGTCAGAGAGTGGGACCGAAAAAAAAAATGTAAATGAGAAGCGGCAAATCAAACTACAGCTTAGCAGACTTGATGGCAGCAATACATGAGCAGCAAAAGAAACAAGAAGAACGAGAAAATAAACAAGAAGAGAGATTACAGCAGTTGCAAGAGAACCTGCAACAGTGGCAGCTCAAACAGCAAAATAAACAAGAAGATAAATTACAGCAGTTGTTGGAGGAGAAAGAACATAAACAAGAAGAGAGACTACAGCAGTGGGAACTGGAACAAGAAAGGAAACGGGAAGAAAGTATCCAACAGTTGCAGGAAAGTCAGCAGCAACTACAGGAAAATCAACAACAATGGCAAGAAGTACAAAAGGAAAACATAAGTAAATTTAAAAGCGAATTGGATACGTTAAAGGACGATTTATTGTCTTTTACACAAGGAGGATACATTAACCATTGACTTAACCAGTCCCAGACAATGACAAGCCCCTTCCAGACCCTGCAGCTAAACCCTAATGCAGACATATTCAGTCCCGTTAAAAGTCACATTCCAGATATGAATGTCAGTACCAGGAGTGATCCAGTACGAAGGAAGCCACAGGAATTCGATGGGAAGGCACTATGGGAAGCATATAGAGCACAATTTGAGCTACTGGCAGAAATGAATGGATGGACGGAAGAGCAGAAAGTAGTATATCTGGCAACGAGCTTGAAATGACAACCACTGGAAATACTTGGACAGTTGTCAGCAGACAACAGGCAAAACTATAGAGCACTGGTAGCGGCTCTAGAACTCAGGTACAGAACCCAAAATCAGTCGGAAGTCTACAGGGCTAGGTTTAGAGTCTGTGTTAAGGGGAGAGCCTGCAAGAGCTGGCACACGACTTGGAAAGCATGGCACACAAGTCCTACCCAACTGCACCACCCGATCTCCTCAGCTGAGGGATCAGTTCGTAGATGCTTTGGACAGTCCACAACTTAAGATACAAGT